TTTGCGGGTGCGCCATACTCCGTAGCCCACAATGGTGGCTAAGGTTCCTAAGAGAACTATCCAATCTACAGTTTGCATTAACGATAGTATTCGGTTACCAGGTAGTACACTATTATTTGCAGAAACAGAAATGAAAGCACCAAGGCGTAGGTTTGGCGCCAGCGCTGATTTTCGGGCTTATTCATTCTCACCGTTTTGAGCGTAACTAATCAAATTGGCCAACAAACGAAAAGCGCCTTCCACGCCCGCGGGCACTTCGCGGAAAAATGAAATTCCGGTGTAAATAAAGGCGCCATCTCCGTGGTTGGCCAACAGCAAGCCCCCTTTGCGCATGGGCTCTCCCGTATCGTTCCAACCAATGGGCGTATGGTAGCGCTCGTCCCATTCACCGGCAAAATACAGGCCGCGTTCCTGCACCCAGCCGTCAAAGTCATGGGCGGTAATTTTATTGGGGTAGTTCAAAACCGGGCTTTGCGGCTCCAAAAAAGTGGGGGCTGCGTCTTCTTCGGTAACGCGCTCCCGCGATATTTCAAAGGGATAAGGGCCAATCTCGTTGGTGAGTAAATCGCGCGAACGCGTGTTGTACTGCACTATGTAATTGCCGCCCTGCTCAACGTAGGCCATTAGTTTGGGGCGCATGGCCGGCAACCACGGCTGCGTATTATAGGCCCTGATGCCCGCCACCACGGCCTGGTATTTCGAGAGGTCGGCCGTTTTCAGGGCCGCTTCGTCCAGCAAATCCACCTGGTAGCCCATCAATTCCAGGGCCTCCATTACCTCATCGCCCGCACCAGGAATATAGCCCACTCTTTGGCCTGTTTTCCGGAGTGGAATTTTCACCAATTTAAGGTTTGCCGGTTCAAATACCACGCGCTTGTCAATGTGCTGGTAGCCAATTTCATTTATGCTGTACACGGGCGCGTTTTGGCTTACATCGGTGCTTTGCAACACCTGCAACACGGCAGTTTTGGTGCTTTCGCCTTTCGGCCGAATGGAGACCTGGAGGCTGCGCTCCTGCCCGGCTTCTGAAAAGTGCAGTTCGCTTTGGGCCGGCTCCACTTCCCAGCCCTGCGCAGCAAGCCCGAGCCGCAGCGTGCCCGGCTCAAAAGCCTTGATGTCAAGATTTACCGTTTGGGTATGCTCGTCCACAAAAATTAAGTTGCGTGAGGATAAGTTTACCGTGTAGGCCGGGGTTACCA